TCTTTTTTGGAAAAATTTTTCCCCTTTTTTTTTGTAATTTGCTCCATCCGCACCTTGAAATTATTTTACTGCCGCTCAACTTTAACGGACGAGAGAGCTGGCAAAAATCGGTAACAAACAAACAAAGGGGAAAAGAAAAGTGAAGCCCTGTAAAACCGTGGAAAACAAAGGGGGAAAACGTAACCGATGGAAACGGAAATTAATTATTGTGGTCGACAAAGACCAAAGATAATTCCGCACTGTTTTTGACAGAAGAAGGAAGGCAGATGCCACGAAACTAGCCACACTGCAGCTGCCACATGCGTTGTCCCGAGCAAACTGTTACGCCTCTTAAAGGCATATTATAGGATTTGTTTGGATTGAGCATTATTTTTTTAATTTTATTTATTTATATTATTATTATAATTTTCAATACATTTTTTTATAATTATCTTTTTATCTCATACACATCACGTCATAAAAAGTGTTACAGTAAAAATATCCCAAATAACTTACAATCCAAACAAATTGCGCTCTGAATCTCTTGCACAAAGAAATGGAACATTAAAGAAAATAAAGAAAAAGAAAAGAAAGGAGAAGAGGAAAACCAGTCGCATTGTTCTCACCAAAGATGTTTTGTGGGTTCAAAACTGAATGCAATCGTGATGTGAGGGTTTATATGTTGGCCTCAAAGGTTATTGATATTTAACAAATCCCATGTGCAAAGCCGTCCGAATCTTTGGTGTTGCTACCCAATGTCAAATTTAATGTCAGTTTTATTTATCACATGAGGGTAAAGGAAACTCGAGATAAACTAAATCAATTTGAGTCATTAAAATTTTTTTCAAAAAAAATATAACACTTAGTATAGGTATGAAAGTGGCAGTGAGTTGCCAACAAATTTAGATTTAGGTGAAGAAATTTGCTACAGGTTTCCCGGGGGTATCGAGGATTGCTACAGATAATGCCTCCGTTTGGATTAGCAGTTTTTGGGGTTATTTTTCAAAAACAGCACTGTAGCATTTCATTTTTAAAATACAAGTCCGTTTGGATTAATTATTTTTTGGGTTGTTTTTAAAAAACTATATGAAAAACTTTTGCTGTAGATGTTTTTTGGATTATTTTTAGAGGTATTTTTAAAACATATTTTTGAGTATTTTTATAATTTATAATTTTTATATTTATATATATTTATGCATTTATAATACATTTATAAATATTTATAAATAAATATATTTATATAAAAATATATAAATGTATTATAAATATATTATATTGTATATAATACATAATATAAATATATTTATAAATGTATAAATGTATATTATTATAAATGTATAAATTATAAATAAATATTATATAAATGCATAAATTATAATTTTTATATTTTTATATAAATATATATTTATGCATTTATAATACATTTATAAATATTTATAAATAAATATTTTTATATATTTATATAAAAATATATAAATGTATTATATTATATATAATACATTATATAAAATATATTTATAAATGTATAAGTGTATATTATTATAAATGTATAAATTATAAATTCATATTATATAAATGTACAAATTAATATATTATAAATATTTATTAATATTATGTATAAATGTATTAGTATAATTAATATAAATATATAAATGTATTAATATTATGTATAAATGTAAAATTAATATTAAGTATATTAATATAAATGTATAAATGTATTATAAATGCATTATATTATATATAATACATAATATAAGTGTATATTATAAATATACATTAATATATATTATGTCTAAATGTACAATATATAATATATAATATATATAATTTTTATAATATATAATATTTATATAAATATATAGAAATATTTTTTTAAATAAAATAAAATATCTATAATATGTATAAATAATATATAAGTATTTAATATATAATATACATTAATATTAATTATAAATATTATAATATTATAAATATGGTGTTTATATAATATTTCAATTTGTAATATTTATTGTATATTTCATTATATAAATATTTATATAATATATAATATATAATTTTCAATTTGTATAATATACATAATATTGTATATATATAATATAAGATACATAATATAATAAATTATACATAATATACATTTATACATTATTACATATTATGTATATTATATATTATACATAAATTATTATACACAATAATGTACATAATAATATTATACATTAATAATGTATATATTATAATATAATGTACATGATATATTATGTATAGATATTTATACATTTATGTATACAATATATTATATTATGTATATTATATTATATTATAATATTAATGTATATAAGTATTTATATAATATATAATATATAAATATATAATTTTCAATTTGTATATTTCAATTTATATTAATATAATATATATAATATACATAATTGATATATACAAATTGGAATATACATATGGAGTTGTGTTTGATATAATGTTTGGATGTGTTTTTGAAGTTGTTTTGGAAATACACATTTACTGTAGCATTTGGAATGTGAAAAATAGTTTTTCAAAAACAGAATAAAAAACAAGGAATCCAAACGGGACTAATGATGATTGGCGAAACTTTAGAGATGAATTTGATTAAAAACATACTTGGTGCCAATGGAAATTCTCACGACGACTCTGAATAGCATAATAAATATTATAATAATTTTGAAAGTTATAGATATATTTAAAATTTCTTCTATCGTTATATGTCTATCCAAATTCCCATTATGAGGTACAAACTACTGTTGGCACTGATATATTATTATTAGTCGACCTTGATGTTTATTGCATTTGTAGCATTTCTTTTCAGGGTTGTTGATCAGCCTCACTTCCTCCTCCATTGGACATAATTTATTATTTGAGTACTTCCTTGGTACTGCAGTGGTTTGTTTTCTTTTTCCTTTTTTTTTTTTTTCAATCCCAAACACTCATTGATTGGAAAAAACTTGAATCCGCGTGTCACCAGCATAGTTTAGATCATATATGCTCTTACTTAGGACCAGAGAAGCAAATTAATTAGCGTTTGGTGGGGACTCTGATGCGTAGATTTGAATTATGTCTCTATTATCTCAATCATCATTTTACTGTGGTTGTGTAATAATATACAGTAACAAATTGGGGTACACGTTTTCCAAAAGCCAATGCCTGTGTAGTCGCTATCTCTGTCGAATGTGGGCTTTTTCTGGAAGAGCCTGTTGGTTGGGGCGTCCAGAAGGTTCTATATTACAAGGCCCAGTTTAATTTTCTTAGTTTTACCATAGCCTAAGATTGTGTGACAGAATACCAATCGGCAGGCCAATACAGTGAGGCCCATACATGTATGGCGAATTTTACCAAGGACAAAAGAGCAGAAGAAAGCAACAAATAAAAAAATATTGAAGAGTACAACAATATTTTTCTTGGAAAATAAAAAGATGTTTTTCTAGGGTACATTGACCGTAAATTGGATGTGTTATCTTAACATCAAAACCCAAATTTATAGTCCTGTGTAGTATTCCGTAAAGCAAAAGTGGTTGTTCTGCAAAAAAAAAAAAAAAAAAAAAAAAAAAAAAGAGAGTGAGAATGGTTATGTGTCAAAGACAATAATGGATCTAGGCTCTAGAGGTGCCAAATTCAGATTTCCAGAAAATTGTCGGCATCCAAATTGCGCATGGTCCGTGTATGCGATCAAATGAAGGCTGAACTTTCCATGGAAATCAATCACTCCCTAGTATTATTAGTTAATGGCTCCCCCCTTTCGTGCCGTCATCAAAAGATTTAAAAGAGCCAGCATTATTAATTAGTTAACGACTGAAAGCTGTCAATGAAATTAGTCGGACACTAAACGGCAAATGCTAACCAAAAACTTTTACACTAGTGGCTTTAAATAAATAAATAGGGAAAATCGTTCAAAACGTCCTTCACATTTTGTAAAATAATTTTTTTTATCTCTTATTTTTAAAAGTATAATTTTATGTCCCTTACATATTCACATCAGTCAAATTTAGTCCCTAACTAGGTTTCCGATCATTTTTTGGCAGGAATCCATCACACGCCTTATTTTTTAAGGGTAAATTTGTCAAATTATATTTTACATAATTTAATCTACAGTTCTTCACATTTTATAAATCAAATTTTTCGTCCTTCACATTTTATAAAATATTTTTTTCATCGTTCACATTTCACAAAATGAATATTTTCATCCCTCTCTATTGTTACAAGCATGTGACGCAACAGCGTAGAGCAAAATGTAGCACTTGAAGCTAAACAGTACCTAATTGTTTAGATTTGTAAAAAGATAATTGATGCGTTAAAAGTTGATAACTATAAACATTGCATGAACCCACGGTGTTAATTACGATAATTTCTCATTTTACCAAAAAAAAAAAAAGAAAAAAAGGATCATGTAACCTCGTTGATCATTGATCACTACGTCCAAAATAAACGTAGGGCTTGGATTGAACGCTCAATTTAATTTTGAGTGATCAATATTTATTGGCACAATTGGGGAATTAGTTGTGTTACTAAATAGTTTTTTTTTTCTTTTTTTGGGGGTGATGGGATCCGTCGAGGCTCGTCCGTCCTTCCTGGAAGATGCCTTTCGTTTCTGCACATAGACACAGACACAGACACACACACAGAGAGTAGTGGGAGGATGGTTTGTGAAATAGTTTGTGAATCCGTCTCCTCCTCGTACAATACATTGATCAACACAAAAAGATCATCCTTCATTGATGACCCTCATAAAACCAAAAGGGACTCAACCCACTAACTTTTCAGTTTTCAGACTCCCCCCCCCGTTCCACTCCACTCCACTCCACTCTCTATTACAACTATGATTTTGTCACTTTCTTACAAATCCTTTTATCTTCTCTCTCTCTCCTTTTTTTTTTTTTTTTTTTTTCCCCTTTTTTTCCAGCATATCTTGCCTCTCAAGCGTTCTTTTTAACTCCGCCTCCTCCTTTTCTTCTTTCTCTTTCTCTCTCCCACTCGATCGTGTTCGTGTGAGGCAACAACAAAGACCATTTGCTTACCAGCTTTGCCTGCAGCCCAAGTTGATGCCTCAATGTCTGCGATAAGGTATTAGTCTCCTCCCCTCTCACCAGTCACTGATAATGTTTGCTACTACCATTTTAATGATCAATTTTAGACCCAAAAAAAAAAAAAAGAGAAAGAGCTAATAAAGTCTTGGTTTGGCTATTATAATATGTATTTGGGACGTGATTGTGTGCGAGCCTCAGCACTAATTAATGATCATCGCCGTTTAAATTAGTACGTTTAATTAAGGTGGGCAGTGAAAAGGATAAAATTAAAATCAAGTAACGAACGAGTAATTCCTCAGTTTCGGTGCACTAGTAATTTATATATATCTATTGAAAGATTTTGCAGGGAAAAGGTTGAGAAGGTAAAGATAGAGCCGGATTATGGGCATAAGGGATTGAATCAAATAGGAGGAGGAGGAGGAGGAGGAGGTGAAGGCGGGAGAGTGATTAGACCTTGCGCCGCCTGCAAGCAAATGAGACGACGCTGTTCAGCAAAAAAATGTCCCTTTTCTCCATATTTTCCCCCTAGCGAACCTCTCAGATTTGCTTCCGTTCACAGAGTCTTTGGTGCAAGCAATGTGTCAAAGATGCTCGCGGTATGGTATGGGGTAAATTGATCAATAAAACCCTATTCATTTTTACGCAACATATAAACTTGATCCGGGTGTTTCTGTATGATGATTTTTCCTTCATTACGTTGTTTCTTACTCTTTTTCTGTCCTCTTAATGAAAGCACTTAAACATCTAAAAATAACTGGATAAAATGTTGCAGGAGGTCCCGGAGAGTCTAAGAGCAGAGGTAGCAATTAGTCTTGTATACGAGGCAGATGCGAGGCTAAGAGATCCTGTGTACGGATGCACCGCAGAAATTTCTGCTTTACAACGGCAAGTCGAATCATTGCAACAACTACTCAATTCAGCATGGGATGAACTGCTCAAATACAAGAATCCCCATCATGAAGCCGATATCTTTAACGCAGAGCCACCACCTTCCCATGGTGTAGCCTTGCTTCCTTCCGTTGCCACCACCGCTGCTTTCCCTCCTCCCCCTTCTCCAACGGTACTGCTAGTGCCACCGCCCCCTCCCACCAGCTCAGGTTCACTTCTCCTTTCATCCTCTGCTTCGTCCAACCAGTACTGCCCACTATCTGCTGCCGCTGATTTCAGCACCATATCAAATTAAACGACAGTACGTGATTAAATGAAAAATAGTAGTAGTACTACTAGACTAGCCCTTGTTATTAAATCGTCTCGCTATCCTTTTGCACAGAAATTACTTAGAATGTTGTCGGTACTGTGCATCTTTTTGGGTATACATGGAGCACAACATGTTAGTCTCTCGTTGGCAGCCATATTTGGGCATTAATTTTCCTTATGAATGCCCTATACAGTGAGGAGGGTGCATGGATTGTTTCTTTGTGTTAAGGTTTTATGAATGTTTCCTTCAATATTCCATACAAAATTACATGCATGCAAGTACTGGTCCGTGGATGTGGCTTTTAGCTGATACTACTAATTAACTTTGGAATCACTTTTCTATGATTAATGTCCCCCTTTTTATCTGTTTTAACTTATGCTTTTGAATTTTTAACGTGTGTAGCTGGCATTTCTGCTTCAGTCAATTCGAGTTGACAATCATCACAATTTCAGTTTTTCTCTCAGTGAATGTATAGTCCAAAAAACCCACTGGGGCTGCTTTTTTTTTTCTTTCTTGGTAGTTTGGTTTCGAGTTGAGATAATTTGAATTGTTGAACACGATGCTAATAGTCGTCAGTTAATGGGTAACTTTGGGCTTAATCAAAAAGGAGAAACTATTTGCATGCATGCTTGCATTGTGATGTACTACTGCTACTTACTAGCCAAATTTACGTCACCAAGTTTCTAGCTCTCGATTCTCCTTACCTTTTTTTTTTTTTTGCCTTAGACTGGATTAAGTATCATAAAATGTGAAAAAAAAAAGATGAAGTATGACTAGTTTGTTCCCTTCGCGTTTCTTCAAGTATACCTCAAATTTAACCCAAGGTATTCGGCCAAGATGTTGAATTACCATCTGAAGGCCCAGGCAAGTCTTTACGGGCGGAGGCCATGATCTTCCCAGCTCCTCCCAAATTCCTTCACTGATTAAACGGAGGATGGACTATTCCCCTGGCTTTTGCAAGTTTGTTCATGAACATCACTCTTTTCTTCTTTTTTTTTTTTAAATATTTCCAAGAAAAAACCAATAAACATTACCTTAATCGTGGAACATATTAATTTCTTGCCTTTCTGATGTTCACAGATGCTGTTTACTGCGAATAACAAAACAAATTTTCCAAACAAACACATACGTGTCATCTTTATTCCATTAGATCATAAAATGGCAATACAATCTAATCCCTAGGCGTAGAACCAAACCAGAGACAACAAATGAGTACTGTGTGTCTGGGTAGGAGTTTATTTGAAATATTACTCGAAATAATTATTATAACATTTTTTTATGTGATGTATCTAAAATAAAGCGGTGTATTTAAAAATGTATCTGAGATACAAGTAAATTTTTTTTTTGGTGCAAATAATGCTTATTTAAACACATTATCACCTTTCTTATTTAAACACAATATCACAAATAATGCTTGTACAAAAAATAAGTGCAACTTTCTAAGCTTTTGACTACACTTGGCAATTGGGCGGGTGTTGAGCGGGTTGATATTGGATTTTCACTTAAATGTGTTCTATCCAACCCACCCAACTTTAGACTGGGTAAATTATGGTTTGGGTCATATTGGATCATCTTAAACCCATGACCCAAATATGACCAAATATTTTAATTAATAGATTTTGATACATAAATTCTCTCAGATACATTTTTACATACAAAAATTTTTTTTCACACTCTAAAACACTTTCACAGATATAAGTACACACTTACTTCTTAAATTCTTTAAAAAGACATTATTTTTATACATTAAAATACACACTAATATACTTTCACAAATACATACACGTACTAACTATTTAAACTATTTGGATGAACTCATTACTTTTTATATAAGTAAGGATTTTCAAACTGGATAGTGGATATAACTTTGATCCAAACTAAGAGACCGAGACAACAAGTTTAGTCCAAATTGGATATAGCATGAAAAATGGTATACTAGTATATGATTTTTAGAGTATTGTTACTTGATTTAGCATTAATTGTACCAAACATATTTCTAGTCTCGTAAAAGATCCAATCACGCATTAATTAAAATTAAAATTTTGATGAGAGAGATACAATTCTCAACCCAATTAGTTCAAATATCACTATCCAATTCATTTGAAAATTCTTGGAAAAATTAACGCAACATTAAAACGGGTCCGATAACAACTTAACCATCCACCAGTTACCAATAAAGCACATTCTAATCCTTCAACAACTCACTAAGGAAAGAAAAACAATTACTGAACATCCCGAAAATGCTAGAATTCAAAGCTGAAACTAATTTGCTTTATGGCACTTGGGCAGCGTTCAACTCCAATGATATAACAAATGGACAAGTACTGCATCACACATAATTCAACCAGCAAATGTCATCCAACACATAAAAGCTACCTGAGGGGTGGGCATCAAATGGAACATCTCAAATTGACACGTAATTTCTTTATTTGTTTTCTAAATTTAAGTTGGATAATGGGTGTCCAACATAAATATCCAAATCGTTCAAAATATATCTGAATTTTTATTACCCGACTCAAAATTGACCCAACACCCAAATTACCTAATCCAACCTCTCAAATTAGTGAGTGGGTTGGGTGGGTTGTTGGGTTTTGGATATAATTACCAGGTCTACTTTTGACCTGCAAGACCAAGTCCCGATTTAATGGGCCTTTTCCGTATTCTGGTAGAGCCTGTGCAGTCTGATTCTGCTTTTTGACCTGTGGACTGAGGCTGAATGAATTTGGATCCAACATGGTTTCATTTGGTTAAGTTGGCCCTTGTAAAGGCCCGTACACTGCACAAAAATGCTTTAGTCTCAAAGTCCATATCGACCTCCGCCAAAATCACCTTAAAATAATGCAGAACCATAAAAATCAGACGCCAAAGTTACCAAATTCTATAGCTGCTTATGTTTTTTAAATATTACTTAATTAATGAGTATTAAATAGATAATTTTTCTGTTATCCAAATAGAATTCATTTATTTGGTCAGATGGTGGTTAAGCCCCCGTCAAGTTCCCTCGACTCAATTGGCTCACTTCCTAGAGTCGCTTCCCTTAAAGTAAGTCCTCCCCTCTTAGGAGTAGGAGTAGGTTAGGCTAGGCTAGATATGCCGCTAATGAAAAAAAAAAAATAGAATTCATTTATCATGACTCACTATCCTTTATTATTATTGAGTACGCGTATCGAATTCCCACTTGTTTGCCCTGTAAATTTTGGTGCACGGAAAAATTGTTGGAAGTAGAAGAAAGGCCGGCATGAGAGTTTAAATTGCAGAAGCCAGGCAGGGTGAAGGGTTAATTAGCTAAATATCAAAGGATCGACGTCTGTTTTGATAATGATAATGAGGGGTTTGTAGCCTGGGGCAGAGTGAAGATAAGGCGACCTGTTTGCCTTAAGATAAGGGTCAAACAAGAATCCATGGCGTCACTGCCTTACACTTTAAGCAAAATTTTATGCATTTAAGAAATAATAATAATAATAATCAAACCCCCCCACACACAAAAAAATTTTGGTTATTCCCCCCTTCAAACCCCTCCCCATCGTCACCCACTTTGAAATAACATCTCATGACTCCACAGCCAATCATGTCTTCTTCTCTCTTTATCTGTCCTTCGCCTACCCAGTTTCTGAGTAGAGTTTTACTCTTTCCTGCATCACTGGGTCTGGGGTTTATCGCTTTCATTGGCTTTATCAAAATGGACCATATGGCTTGGATTTCAGCCTGGCTAGTGATGAAGTGATTCTCAAAATCAAGGCCCTTTTGATGTTTGCGGCCTTTGTTTATTAAACCAAAGATTTACTGGAATGCTCTGCGTATCTTCTGTGCTTGTGTCTGGTTTCCACCTGATCTGCTGTAAAAAACAAATAGTAATTAATCACAGCAAATACTTCATTTGGTCTACTAATCTCTCCGAGCTCACGAGAGAGAGAGAGAGAGACGAGGCATCAGAATTCATGCGTCTGCTTTTCATTTTTACTGTGCTAGTATTTCGTGTGATCATCAATAAATGGTCAAGTGAAAAGGGTTATATAACCTCCAATCCATGCATGGACATAGTGGACACAAGTTGTTTGTAATAGCTCATCCTATGTCTTTCACCATTTTTTTTGAGCGTCTCAAACCATTCAAATAGGAAGGATTAATTCAATGGCAAATGGTCTGATGCATGGACGGAGCTGGAGAATGGAGAGGGCAACCTCATCTAAATTCCAAGAAAGTTAACTTTTTCTCCCTCTAAACGTTGAAGATTTTCAAAAAATTTTCCATATAAATTTCAACTGTTACCCCACAAAACTTGGAAAATTTTTCTTGTTATTTTAAAATGATAAAATTAGCTCTTTCAAAATAATTGTTCTCATTCCATGTATGGTCTGATGCATGATACCGCAACATATTGTTGACAGTAGTATATGCATGTTGGTAGGAAATGTAACTGATCACATGTTCATAAAAATCGAGATTAGGACTTTTTACTTCCTCTTAAAGTCTCAATCTTCATTATTTCAAATGGACCTAAGCTAGGCTGCAGAGGTGCTTTCTCAATAATCCATTGATCCTAATTTTGTGTTCCGAGCTAGTTATCCCAATTAAACAGGATATACAGTTTGATCTACCCAAATTAACTGCAGAAATAATAGTAAGGATATGCTTTGCGATTTGACCAAATTTTTCTATACTTCTATATATATGCTGAAATCTTGCTAGTATATTAATTGCTTTGCTATTAGCTATCAAAGTTTATCAATGCAATCCTTAAAAACATGGAACAAAATCACTGAGAATGAACCTCGAGATAGATGATACGCTTGAGCTAAACCATGCATGCCACATTTAGACTTCCAAACACATTAGATCCTATCATCCTAACAATGTCAATTATTTCTGATATCTTACTATATGTTGCTTTACTATGTATATAAACGGAGAGGATCTACTAAAATCACATTACATAACCTAATAAAATCTTTTAGTAATTAACTACGTACTCATTAATTTTTCCTTATACATTTTTCTATTAATTTGCATACGTATTGGGCATACATATATTTCCCACCAGTTGATGATTATGCAATTGGAAGTATGCTTCACTCCAGTGACAAAACAATCCTCAACCAAAAAAAGAAGGGAAAAAAAAAAATCAAAAGATTTGTCTTTTCAAAAAAGAAAGAAACAATCCTTGTATATGTTGACGGAATATTGTTTCAGCAATTAAAGATTTTTCTTTTTGGTGGTAGTCACTGAGGTCTCAAGCGACCACTTAAGATTATGATGAGCCTTCTCGACTCTGCATGCACAAAAAATCGTGTAGCAAAAGCACTAAATGAAGAATTTGTACCAAATCAATCATGCAGTTCATCATTTAGAACTCCAATTGCACTCGTATTTAGCAGATGTTTGCATCGTTCTCGCGCTGCCATGGATCATTCAACACTCTCTAATCTCTATACTAAGTACAACAAACTCATCGTCTACAATTGAAATTGGTTGCCGCTAATCCAGAAACTTACCGTCTCCAATCTTCCATCACGTTCAGAAATCAAGAAGCTTTATTTTTTCCGTTTAATGGTTGAGAAGAGAGGTGTTATAATTGCTTCTACTTCGACTTTGCTTCCAGTTGTTAAATAGCGGTACCAATGAAAATGACGCCACAAGTTAAATCGATCGATGGCATGGGCTTTAACCACTTCTCAATTGAATCAGGTCTTCGTCGCTCAACAGATCGTATTTTCGTCCCACCCCTTTTTGCACATTGTCGATTCCATGTACACAGTTAAAAGGAGGAAACGGCAGAACCCAATGAATGCTGCCTAAAGCATATTATTAATTTTTTTTGAAGCAAGAGAGATGAAAATGAAATTAATTAGAGCCAGAAATGGTCAATTTAATGAAAGCAAGTTATAACTGACAATGACAACAAAACCAACAATCCCCAGACTAGTGACTTGGGGAAGTATCTATCACAAGTTCACAACACAGGCTCGTCTTCTCTATCACTTTACCAAGAATGGAATAATTTTAGGTGCATTAATAACGATCAAACATTAATTAAAAGAACGAAAGCTCCAATGCGACCAATTCATTTACTAGTATTTATAGGGTTATCCGAAGATGGAAGCAATTTCACATGCACCAATATTCTAGTTTTAACAGCAATCAATCAAAATTAAAGCGGGGGAGGATTGGATTGGATTGGATTGGATTGAATGATAAGTAGGAGATCCTAAATTATACTTTCTGCTTACCAAAAAAAAATGCAAAATTGAATAAAATAGGAGGAATTGTTAGAAGGAGATTTTTGGTTCAAAAACCTCTCACTTACCAAAAAAAAAAATAAAAAATAAAAAAACAAAGAAAAGAATTGAAGCAAAGCTAATGCCTAGTGGATGCTATATAGCTTGAAGAAGTCAACACTCTCCAAGGACTCACGTGAGGAATTCGTGAGCATATATGCAAATTCAAAGAGTAAACTCGAAAGAAGTCCATGCTCTATAGTTTCGACTATATACCTCGCAGGTTTTTTTTTTTTTAATTATTTTTTATAAAATCTTCCTGCACACTTGCTAGTAGTGTAATTTGTACAAGTGATTCGAATTCTCCTTCAGCCGCAAGATGATTAGCTTAATAAATAAAGGGGACTCAACCTCAATTCAGTCCCTATTCATCGAATTTTGTCAGTTTCTATAATAAAACTCTGGACCATCTTTTTCCTGTATACCTTGCCTTTTAAGCACTCTCTTCTAATTTCAAAGCCCTCTTCCGATTTTCATTCTCTTCTTCCTTTTTTTTTTTTTTCCCTTTTAACTTTATTCTCAATTTTCAGACCCTCCTTTGCCTTCCCCCCCCGGTGTGGGCACAAACACTTCCGCTGCCAGCTCCGTACAATTATAGCATGCCTGAATGTCTAGAGAAAGGTAATCCATGATACCTCTGATCATCACTAGCGTTTAAGGTGTACAACATGTTCAAGAAAAAGACCCGATGTTGGAGAGTACTCGTGCGCCTGAATAAATCATAATCAATTTATTGTTTTGTGAATTTAATTTTAGCAGGGAGAGGCTTGAGGAGATTGGGAAGAAGATCAAGAGAGAATCCGATGTGTTCAGCAGTCAGTTGGGAAGGAGACACGTGTTGGGAGGAGATGGAGGAGGAACCCTTAACACTATTACACCTTGTGCGGCTTGTAAACTTTTGAGACGACGCTGTGCTCAAGAGTGCCCTTTTTCTCCATATTTTTCTCCTCACGAGCCCCAAAAATTTGCTCCAGTCCACAGAGTTTTTGGGGCAAGTAATGTTTCCAAGATGCTCATGGTGATTAAATCCAAACCCTCTTCCTCCTTAACTCACGAGTCAATAATCTTTAACTTTCTGATCAAATGGTATATTAATTACTTGCGCTGCATGCTGTTTTTGTTGTCAACAACCGCAGGAAGTTCCAGAAAGTCAAAGAGCAGATGCAGCAAATAGTCTAGTTTACGAGGCAAATGTAAGGCTAAGAGATCCAGTGTACGGATGCATGGGAGCAATTTCCACTTTACAACAACAAGTTCAATCTTTGCAAGCAGAACTCAACGCAGTAAGGGCTGAAATTTTGCAATACAGATTTAGGGAAACCTCCAACATTAATATTCATGTGCCCTCTAATTCTAATTTGGCCTTGCTTTCTTCTGGGGCTGTTTCTATTGCTGCACTGCCACCTACTCCCCCTCCTCCTCCTCCGCCGCATCTGCCCCCTCCGCCCCCTTCACTTCCTCATACATCTCCCTCTTCTTCCATGTACTCCCCACCCTCTAGTACTGCCGCCGATTTTAGCACCATCTCCAACGAGAATATTTCTTTTTTTGGCTAAATTTATTTTCTTAGTTTAAAAACCCGTTATTGATCAAAGCCACGAACAAGGGGGGGACACAAGTATATGATAAATTATTAGTATTTTATGTTCTTGAACAAAAGTGGTAAATTTATTTCTCATTTATTATGATCTTATATTTCCTTTTTCCTCTGACGTTAAATAGCAAGGTGAATTCGTTTTGATACACACATAGATTAGGGTCTTCATGAAATCCAAATGGAGACCATTTGTCTCGTGAATATGATCATCTCTAGACTGGGAAGAGTAAGGGAAGGGCTGTAATGATTTCCCCTCATGTATATTTCTAAATTATGATTGATCAGCCTGCTAATTAGGAGCTTAAAAACCTTAACAGTGTCTCTATTCGGTTTTTCTGCATGTCGGTGAATGAGACTACTAAGTTTGGCTCTAATTTGTTAGGTGATAATATTGCCTCGTTTTCTCCAGCTCGATTTCTTTTTCCGATCGAACTGAAATTTAGCTGAAATTGAGTTTACATTAACATTAATTTCGGAGTCTCTTTTGACGGTCAGTTTAAGGAATAACTGGGGTCGTCTCTTCCTTTTTGTCATTCTGAGCAGAATATTTGACAAGAGATTTGAAATCCTCTCAGATTCCCCTCTAGTTGTTAATATTATTTAAGAGGTATTTAGATTTGTAAATTATCAACTATTCTAATATTTAAAATATATTTTAATAGTTGTTATGTATTACAAAGTCAAATGCCTATTAAGTAATTCAAACAATTAGAGTTATTTGAATGGATTTCAAATCCTTCATCAAATTCCTCGATCCAAGCATATAAGAGTCGATATTGAAATGCTAGAAATTGAATCTTGGGCGGTCACCTTAGGCTTAGATAAGCAGGTATACTCTAAATACCGGTGACGTGCGTACTTGCGTTTAGAATAATCACAAAGAATTCCAGCGCCAATCTCCTTAACCCGAATTCCAATTGTTTCTTTTCCTTTTTATTCCCTTGGACTGATTTACAGTTTGAGGGCTTAATCTCTTTGCATAATTTACTGATTATATGCCACGCCACGATGTTGAAACTCCGTATTAAGTGTGGGGATAATCTGGCTGCAAAGAAAGAATCTAACACGTTATTAAACAAAGCCCAGTCGGCGGCAAACTTGACAGGTTTTCATGATAAATTTGTGTGATGTGATTAGATCAACAATGAAACCGGTTTTTGTATGTCTTCTCAAAAAGCAAATGCTAAAAATGCTACTAATCACGTTGTGAAGTTACCGGATGAACAGCTAATACGCTAATTAATGTTCGAAATCATGAATACTTTTTTTTTTTTTTCTCAAAAGAAAAGCTAAATTTAGGCATTATTATTTCTGGAATACCAAGTAAAGTATGTCATTGGAGTGCTCTTGCTTTGGTTCAAGTTCATTGTTGTGCAGCTAAATTGCCTTGAACTAAATAAAATAGCCAGCCATCTGATTTGAATGGAGCAAATGATTTGTAGTCGCGGGTATTAATGTGGATGATTGGAATTGCAATCTTTGGTCTTGCTTCCAATTATATGGGATCGTGTATATTAATTGTTACACGGTCAGCAATCCTGCCAGCTATACATATGCGTATGCTGTATTAATTGGGTTTGGGTTATCTTGGCGTGTAGATTTCATTTCACCCATGGAAATGAAATAGTCAGCGAACAAACTAGAACTCGATGAAGGCCGTCACAAGCTTAATTCTACCCAACTCAAATCGATTTACGTAATTTTTATTACATTTGGGATTTGGCACAAATTTAGATAATTCTGGTATAAACCATCAAATTAGGCGTACGAAAACTAGACGAATTTGCATCTCAGAACCTATTTGAATCGGACAGGACAGAATGTAGGAGATGTTTTCCTTGTACAGTCAGAAAAATGAATGTATGGTGATGAATTGAGGAGTCTCTTTCCTTTCAAGTCAGATTCAAAAGTCGTGTCTAGAAGCAGTAATGTAGAGAATATAGATGTGATGGGAATTTGGTTGGAAGTCGCGGTTGCTTCTGATGGTGGCATCTTAACTTGTCCTTACACAATTCCCCACTAATTAATCTTTTTGCCAATAATAGTGCATCTCCAACGTGACACACTCCTAATTCGAAGTACTACTACCCTTACGTTAAAATAATAAATGTTATAGTATATAGTATCCAATGGATTATTGGCCAAAGTTCATGTGAACATGAGCACGTGAATTCAGAGATCCAATGTTTCACAATTGTAGTTGCCAATGTTTTCATAATTGGCACGAATTTAATTTGTTGCTAACAGCATGAGATTTCGAGCTACTTAATTACTTGCTGGTTTAGTAATTAGTAATAACGACAATATGCTTTCTTGTCGATCAGACTAGCTTTAGATTACATGGTGGGATTCTTGTATATGCATTCCCTTGTCGCTATGTTATATATTCACCTTGTTCCGATCTTCATATTGGACAAAAGTAAGGATGATCTGTTTTGGATTACTATTTTCTGGAGTTTTTATTAAAAAAATATATATATATATATGAATTAAAAAAGTGATTGCAAAATATGTTCATGGAAAACGTAAAATTTTTTGAACATATTGCCTGAGATTTTCACTTCTCGACCTTCGTCGCCATTAATTTGGACCTTCTTTCCCAACAAGGCAACGATGAAGCCCATTCCATCAGTTTGAACAACATTTAACCCTCTTAAATGGTTTGGAACATTTGATTGAAGGCTAGATTTCTGATTTTTCTTAAGCATAATATTTTGCCCCTTACATGTTTTTTTTTTTTTTTAAAAAAAAAAGGGGAAAAATTGTAATGCAGTCTCTTTCACTTATTCAGCAATGAATACTTTCTCAAATGAAAAAATGTTATGTCCGCCCATAATAGCGGTTGCAAAACTCATTGTAATGAAAAACGTCCCGAGGCAAGAAACTTGACTACAACAAGGATTAACCTCAGGCTTGACAAGATTAATCTCTAAAAGAGACACATGGGGTAGCTTGTAACATTGGTGCAAGTTAGTCGGATCATCACATGATTTAAGATTTCGAATAAGTATATACAAAATGAAGGAAAAATTAAAGAAATTTTTTTGGGGGAGGGGATTGTTGGTGCATTGAACTTAGAAGTTCAGCCCAAAAACATAAAGCTTAAAACACAAAAGGGGTAGGGGATTGTTGGTGAAGAGGAAGAAATCTGTATGGTGAATTATTGCGGACAAAACGTTCATTATTTGTCCTAGGAGATCAGAGAGGCTTTAGCTTTGGGCCGGATGCCATAAATGACGATTGTGTTCGAAATGTTGGTTCAATGAATTGGAAGGCACACGGCACGAACTCTGGGGTAGGGCTATCTATTGCTGTTAAGCATTATGCCGATCCAGGTGTAGTTGGGCACTACGTGGCGATGAACAAGTGCCTGCCTGCTAAATGTAAATCAATAAAGGCCCATTAGGTTGAATTCCTCGTCTTTCTTTAACCCCGTTCTCTTTTGATCTTTGGTTTTGTTTTCTGTTGCTAGAGTGAAATCTTTTTTGAGCTATTTAGGTTAATCTCTTAAGAGAAAAATGCCGTTTTGGTATCCAAATTTTGATATACGAGCAATTTTAGTTTTCAAACTTTGCTTTCAACTTTTAAGCACATTTAGTGCCCTTGATGGATTTTTCTTAAATTACTACCGGAAAGAGTCACATAACAATCACATGTCCCGCAGCTAGTGTACAAAAAAAATGTCAAAAAATGTAAAATTTAGTCCTTAAGCCTATTACTTAGTGTCAGAAAGATACTTAACTTTTTTTTAGATATTTTTTTATACAATAATTGCTAGATATGTAACTATCACGTGACTTTTTTCAGTAATAATTTGGGAAAAAAATCGTCAAGGATACTAAATATGCTCAAAATTTGAAAAATTAAATACCAAATTTGTTTTTATCCAAGGTTTGGGGACTAAACCGCTCATGTGTCAAGTTTGAATACCAAAATTGCATTTTTCTCATCTCTTGATTGACAAAAAAGGGGTGCAAAAAAAAAAAAAAAAAAGAGGAAAAGAGGGGAAGACGAAAGAGTAATTTAATAAGCATAAAAATGTGCTTATTTTAGGATTTTCAAAGAAAATCTGAACTCGTACCTTTATGATTAAAAGCATTCGTCTAACTATAATGGTGTCTTAGACAATAGTAGTAGGGAACGAAGAAGCAAGACAACCCGCAAAAAAAAAAAAAACTGCTGACATATTAAGCACACAAATCTTTTTCTTGAATGTAGTCCAAAGACAAGAAAATGCTGGTCTAGTTAATTCTCCTGCAATTCTTCCTAATCTCGCCGTTGGATCCAGTGAGAGGCTTAATATCACCCATCTTGATCATGGCTGCTGCAAAATCAGAGGCAAAGGAGCCTGGGTTGTTGCTATATGCTCTAACGGCTGAATCAGTTGACCCGCCATTAAATAGCTGTTGATCCGAGTGAAGCAGCCCTCTTCGGTTGACAAGGTTCTTGAAATAGTTATTGTCAAAATTTGTGGGAGTCTGGAGGTCCAGAGGTGCCAAATTGTTGTCCCCTGATCCGCTAACACTTGGGCAGTTGCTCTGCCTTGTTCGAGCCAAGGAACTGTCCAAATTGTTGGTCTCATTGTAGATGCGTGCTCTGAAATTTGTGCATCTTGCTAGTCCAATCGTGTGAGATCCTGAAATCATTGCCAAGTTTAGCGATCTTGCAATTTGATTTTCAGCTGTGATTTTGCGTGCCAGTTCAATGAAAGAACTTAATTCAATTTGAATATCTTGCAAGAAATCATGTTTAAGCAAGGTATTGATTGAATTTTGTTGCGAGGAATAACTAGTCTTAAAAGAGAGAGTAGTTCAACCAGATAAAGCAACGAGGTCCCTGGCAGAGAGTCCAACTGCACTGAATCTAGAAATTAGAGCGTTAAGATTGGTGGTTGGCGGAGGAATGCTATTATTTGCAGCAGCTTGACTTGCAGTCCTAGCATCTCTTCTTCCAAGTTTTACATCCCAGCGGGGGCCACCAAGCTGCGGATTACAAACCATAATTAATTTAATCGCATGAACTTACTAATTGGTTGACCAGTTTATCAACACTAATTAGGTGATGATTCGATTAATGAAAGATAAGTAATACAGTACTCTTGGGACAGCATGCATGAGATTATTGCAATTATACACATGATTCGCTTTCAATAAACTAT